TTCTTCCTTTGAAGCATCTCTGTCCTCTTGGCTTTCCCTGGTGGTCGGCAGCAACTCGTGAGTGGTATCCTCTAAAGCTTTGTTTGTAATTACAGCACCATGTGTAGGTTTCGAGGATTTGGAGGTTCCTAGATCCTCAGTTTGTTTTGTTGTGTCCTGCGGTTTCTCCTCTTCTTCACAAGAACCATTAATCTGGTTTCCATTGGTGGAAGCACCAGAAAAACGCTGTCCTTCTCCCGCTGTAGCCTCTCCAGCTTTGTCTTGGGTTTCTTCCTTTTGTGGAGCATCTTGTTTGTGCTCTGAAATCTCTACTCCAGGACTCGGGCTCAGGAGGTCCTCCGAAGACGAGGATGTGGGTAACTTGCCCCCTATCCTGTTCCGGTAGGTTCCACGAACTGGAGATTGTCGAAGAGAATCATCCTCACTGACGTCTCCGCCATGGCGCTGGAATCCGTCAGGTGAGTAGAGGGCTCGTCTGCTGACTCCTCTGTATGAAACCCCCTGGTTGTGGTGGTCAGCGTTTTCAAAAACAGCACTGAGTTGGCTGACAGTTGGGGAGGATGCCTCCGTTCTGGAGCACAGAGAATCCAAGGAGTCTGTACTGCCTCGGTTGGACCTCGCCCCTCGCCAGTCATCGAGGTGCTCATGGGAACCCCTTTTATCACGGCCGTAGGGAAAGACTGGTGATTGGGACTGGTCGCGTGACTGTTGTTCAAATAGCTTTCTGGTTTCGGAAAACTTTGCCCCGGCACCTCCAATCCTTTCTGCTGATGAGGAATGCTGAAGTTTTATCACTGATCCATCAGCCTTATTGACGAAGTTTGTGGGTTTCACCAGCTTTTGTGGTGAGGATTCATCACGACCCCTAGTCTTAGCAGCTGCATTCTCTGACCCCATTTGCATGAACATGTCCTTAATGCGACTGACGTGTGTGCCATACTGGCGTCCCCTCGGTTGTTTCACCCGCTCGAGGTCTTTGGGCTTTGAGTCTCCATCGAGCCGAGGCTGGTCAAAGGCCTTCTTGAGTGCCTGAAACTCAGCCCGGTAGGCGTTACGGTGGGGGGAGGCACTCCGGAGGCTGGTCCTCTCCCCCGAGGCCTCCGTTTTCAGCATGATGATGCCTTTGGATTCAGAGGAGATGTCAGCATTGCCTTGGCCGCATTAGAGCACCGAAGTGAGGTATCTTGTTCTACTAGTAGTGCCACTCGGTCTGATCCAGCTGTTGTTATAGTTCCGTTAGGCCCATTCATACCTGTAAAGATGAAAGGAGATGTTATAAAGATAGAAAAATGGTTTTGTCGAGTGAAGACAGATAACTGTTTAAACAGGCTCACAATACCATATGGAGTCAAAGTGCCTCCTTTTGTCAGTGGAGCTTCATGATCAGAATGATGGTTAAAAAGCATGAAAAAAGTCATTTTTACCATCAGCAACACTCTTCAGACACATGAGGGCAAAACGAATTACAGATACTTATGCGTGCAGTAAAAGCTCTCAGTACAAGAGAACTACTGCAGTGATAAAAGCCAATCGGACTCTAAAGGGCCTCCAAAGATGCTGTGTTTAGCATCACGGAAGAGCTGCGCTGCTAACCCTCTCAGATAATAAATCCTTTGATTTGTGCTTCTTTTTGTTTAAAATGGTGCTATGCTCTAGGAAACATGGTTGTTTCCTTCTTCTTTTCTTGCTCTCTTTCCGTTATCTCCCCCACCCTCTGTTTTCCATATGAAGCTGCGACCCTTGTACACTAAGACATCCTTCAACTCTCTAAACCATAACTGACATTATGGTTGTGGCTTCTAAATGTCAGCTCCCAAGCTGGAAAAAAATGTTGCTGGATGCACTCAACCATGTGTGTTGATACCATCCAATAGAAAAAAAAGAAACATTTAATGAAAGGCCCACATTTGCAATAATACAGGGTTAGAGCAGGGTAGTCGGCTGGTAGTAGTTAAATATACACCTACATCCGTTAATGTTTAATCCTTTTTGGAAATGCACGCCACAGAGAGTGAAATGAAACATGACACAGTAAAGCTGGGATAAAAATACATTATTAAATAAAAAAATAAGGTCCATCTGGGACACAGAATCCATTAACCTAAGTTGTGCTGTAACCCGCAGCCTGGATGCTATAGATGCATCAGCAACAGCAGCGGTGCCTGAAAACTAAACGTCCTGGTTCAGTATTTAATATTCACTATGCTGGACTCTTGCAGCTCAGTGTTAACACCTATGTGAAATGCTTGCGTTAAAAATATTAACAACAACAATAATTAATCTGAACTTGGGGATCATCTTGTGCTTTGCACCCTCTGAGGATTTTACGCAGGAAGATAATGAGGACGATAACGTGAGAGGTGAAATATAAATTGAGGCTTGTGAACATTGGGATCGGTGTCAGTGGGATCAGACAAACAGGCGCACATCAGCCACACCGCACAGTACATGACAGCTCAGGTTTCCCCCCCTTCTGACACCGTTTCACGCGTATTTATTTACATTCTTCCAACTGCAAATTTCCGCGACATCAACCTCTAACCTTTCTCAATAATTGCAAAATAAACACAAGTTAACCTCAGATAACATCGAGGTTGCTTCACTGTTACAAAAACAAAAGAGTCAGACTTACATTCATGGCTCCGGCTTCGCTGGACGCGCCGCACACATAAACTGTAATCCAGAGGGGAAACTTGCGAGAAATGCGGATGGTCTGCTTGCAAAAGCTATCGAAAATAACATTTCTATTCCGAGCCCGTAAAAAGCCAGCCCGGAGCGGAATCGCCACTAGAAACGTTTGGACATAACTAGAGCCGCTATAACGCCATTGCATTGCAGGCAGTGGGTGATGCTGCCAGTCGCACAATGGGGGTGTCGGTGCAATTTGGGAAGCTCATCTCACTGAGAGCTGCACTGTGGCAGCATTTGCAGGACGGCAGAGTCCGATGTCCGTCTGCAGTGTGGCAAACTGAACTCGCTTAGCTGCAGCGATAGCCGGCGATTTGCGAATGTAAAGCCTCATGTGACAGGTGTTAAAACCTGAAGTGCAGCAATGGTTTGGTCCGATAATCTGCTGCGCGGAGGGGGTTTCAGCGAGCTGCAGTCTGGCATAAATACCAACACACAGCAACTGTAACTTCGCTGGTTCATCAGTGGGATTTGGGTGGGGTAGAGAGGGTCAAGGACCACTCTGACTGTGTGATGCGCGTTCAAATAAGGGTTTCCAAAATGTGGTTCGAGGACCAGAAAGTGGCCTTGAGGAGTTTACCTGGTTTAAGTTTAGAGAAACAAACAAACAAACAAAAACAAGTAAAGTTGGATTTCACTCAAAGTTCAGTCTGATGGCAGAATTTGAAGAAACCCTTAAACTGTTTTGTCCATCGCTTGTATTACTATAAATACACATGCAGCTTTTAAGTCTGACTGGAGAAATGTATAAGGGGGCAGTTTAATCAAACAGCTCTGAGCGCCATCTCACACATCCACCATGAGGAACTACATTAAAATTGCAATGATCTCTTTAGTTAGTCGTCTCTCTCCTCAATTAATTCCTGAGCATTCATTTTTTAAGCCCCATTAAAGAAGATCAGAGTAAAAAAAAAGAAAAACTATCTGCCTGGGTTGCATTCAGTCAACAGACCCCACCGAAAGCACAGGACTTAATTCATGTGATGAAGCGCTAGAGAAAAGGAAGCTTTGTAAACATCCCAATGTGTGATTATTTTTACAAACAGCACCAAGTTACATAATTGCTGTTGTTATGTTATAATAGACGACATTGTTTCTTCTAACTTTATGAAAGCACAAGCTGTGTACGAATTTGGATGAGGCCTTCTGAGGAAAAACATTTGCTTGTTCAGTCAACATTTAACCAAACCATACTCGGTTAATACAAATGTGAGTCGCAGATTAGAACATGAACTGTTATAAGTTGATTTGGGACACTTCACACTTCAGATGAATTTTCAATAGGCCTACATCAGTTTTGAATTTAGAAAGTGCATTAAAAACAAGTCTTATGCTTTGGCATTACTGCAAGAATCACAGAGAATTAGAGCTTGTGCAGTGCATACATTTACTAAACACCCACCACTGCTGACGAGAGGATTTTGCATC